CCAAGAAGAATTGAGCTGAAACCACTAAAACTAATCTTAATTATCACTTCTGGTGAATTAATGTTTTAAAGGCGGAATAAAGGTTTATTTTCAGGAATTTAGTGATGTTTGTATTGAACTCTAATGCTGTGTACAAACAAAAAAACTATTAAAGCTTCCAAGTAGGATTCCTCTGACAAGTTAACTTTTCCCCTAAGCATATTATTATTCACAAATCCATAATTTGCAAATAAAATTTTTCTCTGCTCCCAAACCTCTACTATAACATTCCAATTGGGCATAAGGCATTGGGGAAAATTTCTTTATTGCATTTTTTTTTTACCTGCATATATCTTTATTTTCCTTTTTCCAGATGCGTCTACATCCATACATTACTGTGTTTGGCTGAATTCCACTCTAATGTGATGCTCCATTAGACACCATACTGTGATGACCTTGCTACTCCGAAACCTGCCGGAGCCTGCCCTTGGCCGTGGGGTGTCAGCCAATCACTGCTTGTTCCACTTGTTGTGCATTTTATTTTTGAGTTTTTTCTTTCTCATTTAAGGAAAAATAGTGTGAAAATAAATAAATTTATAAAAGAAACAGTATTAATATAGAAATGTGCTACTAATGGATGTCTAGGTCACCAGGAGTTTCATTCTCAAAGAAGTGATTAGAACCTATTAGACTTAATAGTGAAGTCTTTTAAAAAAATCCAAAAGCATATTTCAATAATAATTTTGAGACTTTGGATTGTGTAAACAAAGGGAAATTAATTCTATTACACCTTCGTCTATAATACATTAAATACTGGCTTTGAATAAAAACCTAAATTGATCAATATTTTTTATGTGTCATGTAATCACAGCTTCTTCCAGGCCAGTCAGATAGTTCTGCTAGAGTAAAGGATAGTGTCTTTGCTCATTTTGTGTGTGTACTTTTAAATGCCATTGTGTGTGTTTGTGTTCATTTCCATACATATATATGCTAGGACTTTAAGCAATATTTCTGAAAATATTGTCTATGAAACAAATTTGAAAGATTAATTTTATATTTACCACAGGTACTGCAATGGATTGATTTTTCCCTAATTTTGAAATACTGACCAAACTATCTATCGAATTTTCAAGTTTTTTGGTCAAATTCCTTAGAAAATTTAGAACTTTTAGTTAGGTTTACCAAAGTCATTGTAGTCATATTCAGAAGGAACATGTGGCTTGCTGTTTTTGTGGACTACATTTATTGGAAGGCTTTTTCATTGGATGTCAGATAACATAAACGCGAGCAGCTTCTAGAAAGTCAGTTTGTTACATATTGTTGAGAGAGTGAGTGACTAAATGTTAGTGGTAGAAGCGATGCTATTGGTAAGTCAGGGAATCCTTTCGATGGCCCTTCTACCTCTTTATGTTTGTATATTTATGTCTCCATTTGTTATGTTGTATGTGTTTATGTGCCAAAAAACGTATTTCATATGTAAAGTCTGATAATTTTATAATACGTTTACCACACTATCTCCCCTACTAAAATTTCCACAAATTTTGAAACCAAGAATGCCAAATTCTCAAGATTATTTTTGATGAATTATTGTCAATATAATAACCCTTTAAGAAATATAAATAAATGCTGGATGGAGATTAAAATGTGAAGTGATAGGAAATGTATTGTAATCCGTGTAAATCCTTCATGTCTCCTTGAGGATTTTTTTTCTATTAGCTGTTTATTTAATCTTGCAAAAGGGAAATTTTCAGAAATATCCTTGAGAATACAGTGAAATTCCTGAATAAAATTTAATTATCCTCAACTTCTCGTTTTGTTTTGGGCATAAGGGCCAGAGTAAGAAGCTGGTGAAAAGAACCTTTGCCACTTTCCACTTCTTGGAAATGTTTGTTTCCTCATCCCACGTGGTAAACTTTTCTTAGATGTACTTAAAATATGAATTTTGCAACAAACCACATCAACTCAAAAACAAATTATAGAAAAAATTCCAGAATTTTGAGTTAGTGTAATGTGCAACTGAATAGAAGTGGTATTTATGAATACCTTCACAAAGGAGAACATTCTAAGGCAGCATTTTCTAAACTTGAGTTGCAACACACTCTTGGGGCATGAATCAATTTATTGGGTCTCTTCCACAATTAGAAAGATATGAAATAAAATAGAAAAATTCAGGGTACATCACCCATAGTAAGAGAAAATATTGTCTTGTGCAATTTTTGTTTCAGTTGTGTTTGTGTGCATGTGAATGTCTCTGTTCTTCGTTGCTATGTAAAAAATGTCTTACTGTGGAAGCAGGCAAGAAGGTTTGAGAATCACGCAGAGGTGGGGAACCTGCAGCCTTCTGATTTCAAGATTGTTCCTTTTTAAGCACCAAAGGAGGCAAGAAAAGCTTCACCGTTCTTTGCTGCACCCCTTTTAATAAAAGGATTTGTTCTGCAAAATTTGGATTCAGTTAAAAGGCCACACTTAAGGACCTAGAAAGCCACATTTTGCATTAAGGCTGCAGATTCCCCACCCCTGCTTGGGGTGGGAAGTTATGGCTATTTACTATTATGAGTAGGAAAAACATAATAAATCAAAGGAAAAGAATTACTAATATTCCCAAGGAGTTTAGTGTACTATTAAGCTGAATCAGAATGATCAACAGCGTACTTATTACAGCAGCATTTATCAACAGCAAAAAGCTTTTGAGAAGTCTGTTATCATTCCCCTACTATTCTTGCTATTTAAAAAAAAAAAACCTTTGAACATGTGCCTTTGGTTCACTGACCAGGCACAGACTCCTCCACCCCCAAACCCCTGCTTTCAATTGTTATCAACCTCAAGTCTCTTGAGGATTCTCCCTTGTAATTATGGAACTTACCATTCAGGGAGGTGCCTGTGGACAGATGGAAAAAGACTCAGGAAAAAGCCACACATTACCCTATGTATTTTAGCGTTTGAATGTTTTATTTTAAAGTGCAAGGTAGTAACTAATTCTCCATCACAAAACTAAGGAGGAATGTGAGAATACTAGAGAATTGTTTATTTAGAGTGGTTCATCTTTTAGATAACATTTTTTTTTTGTTTTAGTGCATCTAATATCAGTACTGGTCCTGGTTATGCAAAGAATAAGATACAGTCCTTGCCCTCATTGAATTAATATAGTATAAAGATCACAGAGCAGAAAAATGATAGCTTATTTTATTTAGAGACTTTACTTTTTTCAGTTATGATGTTTTACTGTGTTGCCCACGTTGGACTTGAACCCGTGGGCTCAGCCTCTCAAGTAGCTGAGGGGGCAGGAACAACACGTGGGACGGAAAAGTGGCAGTTTATATTTGCTTCATGACTCTTAAATTTCGAAGCCTCAAATGCATGTTTGCTTATTTGCTTCTCAGAACAAACTGCGAGGAAGAACATCATTATTGTTTTTGAGGTAAGGATACTGAAGTAATGAACAAGTTTCTTTCACGACTCTGACGGAATTCACTTAAGAACTTTATAAAGTCTATGAAAAAAATATCCATTCAGAATCAAGGGTATTGAAACATTGGAGGGAAGCTGTGAAATTTCTGTTTTTGAATACAGTATATTTTCAGACTTCTCTGGGCAAAATCTTCCCAAAAGAATTTCAGGCCCAATTTTTCAAACTTTCTGCAGTCACAAACTGCACTTCATACAACCAAATATATATATT